TTTCAATGCCCGTCATCTTTTCTGAAGTAAATTGGTGCTACCAGGAACAAATGTGTCTCATTGTCATACAAACTCCTATGTTATTAAAACATTAAAATCCCATATTCTGTAGGTCTCTGAAGTGTTTGAAGACCATCTATCTATCTAAAATATCTCTGATTGACCTTGAAAATATACCTAACATGACTCTAAGTTTGATTGTTATAGATGACTATTAACATGTATTTCTTTATTATCCTAAATAGCTTTCAAGAAATAGAACTTTACATTACCTTTTTAAATGAGCTGTATATGTATAATACCTTAAACAAGAAATAGAAGCATATATCACAGTATAACAAAAATAACCTTACATTTGTATCATTATACAAAAATATTTACATAAGAGTATACTTACACAATAGTAGAAACATATATACCATATAACAAAAACAACCTTAAATTTGTATCAATATACAAAAAGCCATACCAATGTTAAATATTTGAGATTAGTCATTGCTTTTTTTAAGATTTATTTATTTTAATGTGCATTGATATTTTGCCTACATGTATGTCTGTGTGAAGATGCCAGACCCCTGGAACTGGAGTTATAGACAGTTGCTGCTATGTGAGTGCTGGTAATTGAACTCAGGTCCTCTGGAAGAGCAGCCAGTGTTCTTAACCACTAAGCCATCTCTCCAGCCCCTAGTCATTTTTTTTTTTAGTTTGAAAGTAGATACAATAATTTATCCTTTTATCCTATCATTTCTATACCCCCCTTTCCTTTTTCAGAACAAGATTCCTGAATCTAATTTCCTTTACCTAGTATCCTCCATGATCAGTAACAGCTGGTGACAAATCCCCCTAAGTAATGAGAAACATCCATTGAACAACCAAAAACCAGCCTCTTGGGAATGTGGATCCTGTTCTTAAAATTACTTTTTGTTGTCTGGGGGCAATGGCATCTTTAGGGGACTCTGAGAAAATTAAAATAGTGATCAAGTCCTGGATAGACTAGTCTGTGAGTTTAGACCATCTCAGCCAGCAGCCTTGAAGCTGTCCTGGATGCAGAACTCTGAGGAAAATGCAACAGAGGCACTCTGAGAGGCTGGATCACCTGGGCCACCCATTTTTATTGGTGTCTGGTCCCCTTGCTCTGAAAACATATAAATCTACATATCTATATTAGCACAAATATGGACTATGTGTTGTACACAAACCAGCCAAAGGTGATGTTTTGTTTTATGTTTGAGCAGAGAAAATATATGTGACCTATCTTGTAGTTTTTCTACATTTTTTTTTATATCTGTAGCCAGAATTTTCAGGGGTCTCCTCTAATCAAATCTGATCTCTATCAACCTTGAATCCACAGCCTTTCATTTCTGTGGAAACACAAGCATAACCTATTTTCCAATGTAACATATTTTTTTTACTTCCATTTTGAAGTTAAGGCATTTAAAAAATATATAGGTTGGTTTAATTTAGTAGTTCTTATAATCCAATGTGTCTCAGCAGCTATTGTTTGCTCATCAGCAATAAAAAAATTTAAAGTTAATACAACACCATATAGGATCCAGACTCCCTGTGTAGTTTCCATATCTGCATGGCTTATCCTCTTTTTTATTACTTCTCTCTTTAAAGACTTTATTTTATTATTGTTAAACCATTATTTCTTATGACTGTCTATATCATTTTTCTCTTTGTCCCTTAAGCCTATGCACATTGTTAAACACATTGTAACCTGCTTAGAGGTTTTTTTTTTTCCATCTGAACTTGTTTTACTGCATATCTGTAACCTTTTCTGTCTGCATGACCAAAATCTTAAACCACTGTACACCTTAGCTCAGGGTGCACTGGCGGCTCAAGCCCACAGGCAGCAGCTGGAAGACACATCTCTGTACCACAGCCCTCATGAGAGACTGTAGGACTAGGAAGCTGCACTTGGCTCCATTTTTTGTGTGTTTGGAATCTTTATTTAAGCTTTCTCAGGTCTTATGTGGAAATATGTGCCCCCACATTAGACACCATTTGTAGGCAGATTTTTCTGTCCTGCCATCCTGCTCCCAAATCATGACACAGAGACATTATTAATTAAGAAAGCTTTCTTGATATTTTATGATTGCTTCTAATTAGCTCTTATAAAAATTAACTCATTTATATTAATTTACGTTCTACCTGCTTGCTCTGCATCCAGCTGGTGACTCCATGCTTCTTCTTCCCAGCATCCTCTGTGCCCCTAAAATCCTACCTAGCTATTGGCCATTCAGCTTTTTTTTTTTTTTTTTTTTTTTTCCGAGACAGGGTTTCTCTGCATAGCTTTGCACCTTTCCTAGAACTCACTTGGTAGCCCAGGCTACCAAGTCACAGAGATCCGCCTGGCTCTGCCTCCCAAGTGCTGGGATTAAAGGAGTGCACCACCACCGCCCAGCAGCCATTTAGCTTTTTATTAAACCAATCTGAGTGACACATCTTCACAGTATGCAAAAAGATTATTCCACAACACCCAGGTCCTCTGGGAGAGCAGTCAGTGCTATTAACTGGTGAGATATCTCTCCAGTCCACACAATGATTTACTTTTAATCTGATAGCTTGATTGTCTCTGTGTGTGTGCACAAATGTGTGTTCATGGAGATAAGAGATCAGATGGGTGTCTTCCTTAATTGTTCTCCATCTCTATGTTCTTTAACCCTTTAATTATTTGTGTATATTGTGGTGATGTATTGTGTCCCCAATATATTATGCACCCTAATAAATTTTATCCGAGGATCAGAGGGAAAAGCCAGCCACTATAGTAAACATAGAGGTCAGGCAATGGTGTACAGGCTTTTAATCCTATCACTTGGGAAGCAGAAATCCATCTGGATCTCTGTGAGTTCAAGGCCACACTGGGAACAGAGCCAGGTGTGGTGGTACATTCCTTTAATCCCAGCACTAACCATAAAGGTCTAGGTCTGTTCAGACAGACAGGAAGTGACAGAGCTGGACAGGAAGAAGAAATGATGTAGCTGGGCTGAGAGAGGAAATGAGATGGCAGAACAGAAAGGCATATAGGCGTGGGTATACAGGAAGTAGGTCTCTTAGGAGACTGGGGTGAGGTTTCTGTGGCTTGTACTATTTTTCTGATCTCTCAGTTTTTCACCCCAATATCTGGCTCTGGTTTTTTTTTTTTTTATTAATAAGACCATTTAGCAATTCATCTTATCGCAGCATGTATGTGGAGGCCAGAGGACAACTTACAGGAGTCAGTTCTTTTTTTCTACCATTCCAGAGATTGAGTTCATGTCCTCAGGCTTGGCAGCAAGTGTTCATATCTGCTATGCTATTTCACCAACTCTACCTGTTTTTTGAGACAAGGTCTCTCAAATGTGGAGCTCTCAAATTCTGCTAGACTAGCTAGCCAGCAAGCCCCCAGGATCCTCTTGTCTCTCCCTCCCCAGTGCTGGGATTACTAGCATGTGCACTACACCCAGCTTTTCCACTAGGGCTCAAATGCAGGTCATTTTACTAACTCAGTCATCTTTCTGGCCCCTAATTTTCTTAATTCACTTTCAGAAAGGTATCACAATGGTCCCTTCAAATACTTTTTACACTCTATTACCTCTTGCTGTGGATATTGCTGTATATAAATAAAACACTGATGGCCAGTGACCAGGCAGGAAGTAGGTTGCCAGGCAGGAAGTAGGTGGGACAAGGAGAGAGGAGAATTCTGGGAAGTGGAAGGTGGAGGAGGGAGACACTGCAGCCACTGCAGCCACCGCCAGGACAAGCAGCATGTAAAGACTCTGGTAAGCCACCAGCCACGTGGCAAGGTATAGATTTATAAAAATGGGTTAATTTAAGATATAAGAACAGTTAGCAAGAAGCCTGCCATGGCCATACAGTTTATAAGTGATATAAGCGTCTGAGTGATTATTTTATATGTGGATTGTGGGACTGCGGGGCATGGGGAACCTGGAGAGAAGCCCTCCAGCAACAACCTCTTGTTTCCAGCTGCAAATTTAATCATACCATTAGACCCTTTCTCTAAGTCTGTCCTGTGGTTTCAGTATTAATTGTCTCCAAAATCTATCTTCCAGTTCCTTACTTCTATCTTTAGCTGGGTCTAATTTGTAGCTAATCTAATCCATTAAGGTTCTGCGACCTTTATGATCTACATACAACAAAACAGAGCATTTTAAGTAGTGCCATTTGATAAGTTTTCTTGTAGTTTTTGTGTTTTCTTCAACATCTTTATGTTGAAAAAAATTTGAAGGAGCTGGAAAGATGATTCGGTGGTTAAGAGAATCTACTATTGTTGCAGAAGCCCCAGATTCAGGTCCCAGCACCCACATGGTGCCTCACAACTACCTGTAATTCTAGTTCCAGGGCATCTGACACTCACTTTTAGCCTCCATGAGCACCAAGCAGGTACATGGTGCACATACAAACATGCAGGCATTCACCCATGTGTATAAAATAAAAAAAAAAAGGCAGCTGGAGGTGGTGATGCATGATTTTAATCCCAGCACCTGGAAGGCAGAGGCAGGATCTCCAAGTTTGAGGCAGGCCTGATCTACAGATCAAGTTCTAGGACAGCAAGGGCTACACAAAGAAATCTTGTCTCAAAAAAAACTAATAATAATGATAATAATGATAGGGTCAGGCATGGAAGCACATGGCTTTGATCTCAGCACTCAGAAGACAGAGAAAAACAGATGCCTGCGAGTTCTATGCCAGCCTGATTTCCATGGTAAGTTCCAAGCCAGCCAGGGCTACATATGGAGATTCTGTCTCAAAAAATAATTTTTTTTCAAATGTACAGAAGAGTTAGGATAGTAGTACATATTCTGGATCATTAACATTTTGCTGAATTTGCTTTGCCTCGCGTATTATGTATAATCATACTATTACTCTTTGGTTTGAACTTCAAAGTCATTTGGACAAAGACCCTTTGATTTCAAGTATGTCAGCCCAGATATGAAAGGAACAAGTGCCACTCCATTCCCACTGTGGTGCAGTCAAGTCAGTTAACCATCTTGGAATTATCATTGATAGAGTTTTATTGAGCAATATACAGTACATTTTCAGGTTAAGAATTTTTACTAGTGTGCTCTGTGTGATTGATCATCTTTTCCTGACCCAGGATCCAGTCTAGCACCAGTTAATAACATACTGATAAAGCTGGAGCTTCCTGGAGTAGAGGGACTATGTTCTCTTCAATCAAGTGGAGTATACTTACCTTCACTCACTCAGGACGTGAGGAGATTTGATCTTCGGTTCCCGTGAGGACAGTTCGGTTTCTGTCTCACCTTCACTTTCAGGGAATAGTCCTCTAATGCACTGAGCCTGACCTTCAGCTTCTGTACCCCAGTCCCCATGAGACTGTCCCAACTTCATGGCTTCTTGGTCCCCGCTTTCCTGATTGAAAATCTCCCGCTGTAAATGCTGTTCTTGTCATCAGAGAAACTGTGACCCCAAGAATCCTGCCATCACTGGTTGTTCTAATGAAGGTTAGTCTGAAACAATCTTGCTCCCACTGCTGTCTCTCTCTTTAGTTTCAGCATGGAGTCTTTACTGTTACTTCAGCTTTTAGGTTATTTAAAATGCTCCACTCACCATTTTAGCAGTTTTCTCTGGGGTATTTACCATCTCTGTATTGTTTCTAGAACATTTCTGTGTGATTGTTTTATCCTTGCCTCCTTCACCTCCCCCACTCCCTTTTTGGAGCATTTTGCTATGTAGCTCAGGCTATCCCAGTCATTTCTGTTGGGTATTGGTGAGTGCCCAACATTGATGCTTTGCTGTCTGCTGCTTCTATTCACTACTTAATATTCACTATTTTACTTTTGCTTGCTATGTGCTTAATAAACCCACTAATTCAAGATCAAACATACAGCTTCTATATATCAGTATTCATACAGAACAGAATACCCTACCAGGTAGTATCCAGAGGTTGTCTATGGACACTGAGCTTTGAATTTCAGTCATTGCAGAAATGCCACATAGTCTCCTGACTTTCTGATCCTTGAATAGGGTTATGACATAAGAGCTTTCATTTCTCTACCTAGAAACCTTCCCTTTACCAGCTGTCCTGAGGACCTAAGACTTCAGGGAATGTCTCCTGTTGGTGTCACGGGAAGACTGCACGAGAAAGGGTTGTTTTACCGGGTCGTGAAACTTGGTTGCTTTTATTATTGAGGGAACCCCAGAAGTTAAAGGCATATGCTACCAAGAGTGCCAGGAACTGGAGTCGTTAGAGACTAGTTGATTCTCTTCCACTGTTGCTAATATCCTACTCAGCGTGTGTGTGCACAATTCAAATCTTAGAGACTTGCACTATTGACCCTGCCTTTCACAGACATCCAGGATTTACCTTTGGCTGTCCACTAGAAGTGGCCACTTGGCTTCTGAAGCGTCTTTGACCACACGCCTGTTTGTCCTACAGCAGCCCCATTTCAGGAAAAGGAATAGATTCTCATTGCCAAAGCTCTGGAGTACTCTTGATTTTCTCCGCAAACCTAATCCTTGGAGCAGTCCCGCAGCGCCATCTTCTGGTACAGCTCTTCACCTCCACTCCTCGAGAGACAGTAGTGTCTGATTTGCTTTTCAGACCTCGTGTAGGCCTCCTGAGAGATCTTTGCGGGCATCGCCAAGAATAATGGCCTCACGGAGACACCCAAGGCCAATGTTCTCCCAAGCACTGCAGGTGTTCGTTTGGCATTTGGAGCATCTGAGACGCAGCAGCCTGGGCGGTACTCGCCAGGGGAAGAGGCGGCGCGCGTTGGGTTCTGTCCTGCCCCGGCGAGCGGTCACGTGGGGCGCTACCCGGAGGCGGAACTACTACGACCGGGACCTAAAGGCTTGCAGATCGGGAGCTCCAGGTTACCTAGTCATGCGCTCCCTGCGTCCCACCTCCGCTACGCTGGCATTTCTAGCTGCGTTCTTGGCTGCGCCCTTGGCTGTGGCTGAGACCCCATACCTGGTGCGTGTGGACGCAGCCCGCCCGCTGAGGCCTCTGTTGCCCTTTTGGAGGAGCACCGGCTTCTGGTGAGGCCCACCTCTCGCTCTTGCCAAGTCCAGGAAAGCCTCTTGCTCCATTCTCTGGGTTTCTCTCATCAGACCTTTGGGCTCTCTGCCCATCATTCTTGGACACTTAGGAGTGAAGATCAAACTTCTTCCTTCAGGGTGTGGAGTGGGTTTTCCGAGTGCCAGAGCCTCCCTAAATGGTCCCCATGGATCAAGAGCACGGTACTCAGGCTATAGGCTCATGATTGGTACTTTGGCAGAACCTAGGACTCTCCCAAAGTACTAAGACCTGACCTCGAGTGTTGGATCAGACCTGGTTTCTGAATGCCTCCAAGTCTCTCTAGGAATTTACAGATCCCCTTCTATGGCAGGCAGATGTCCTATTAGAATATGGTACTGTGTCCTATGGGAACCCACCTCCCAGAGACAAGACTGTAAAACATTTCTGGTGGAAGGGCTACTTTATCATACAATGTGGAGACACACACTGTTCCTCTGCAAGGGCCTGGCAGTCAGGTGCTAAATGTGTGGAACCTGGTCTGCTGCAGGCCCCTGCTTAGGACAAACACTTTACTTCTTTGTCCTGTCCCTAGCCCCCCACTGCCTCACGACCAGGCTGACCAGTACGACCTTAGTTGGGACCAGCACCTGAACCTTGCCTACATAGGTGCCGTACCTCACAGTGGCATCGAGCAGGTCCGGATACATTGGCTGCTGGATCTCATCACAGCCAGGTGGGTGATGCTGAGGTGGGTGCCCTGGGAGCTGCTGGTCAGAGCTTGTCTTACAGAGATGCTGAGGTGGTGGATCTGACCTTGTCAGGGCCAGCTGTGGAGCACAGTGCTGGGCTGTTGGCTGGGAAGCATCATGGTAGGGCACAGGGCCGGGACTGCACTGCCTGTTAGAGCATCCTCTTGGGCAGAAGACGAAGGGAAGGTCTGCTTGGCTATGCCAAGGGCAGCCCCTGGAAAGAGCACAGGTGGTTTCCTTCTAAGGGTTTCTTAGAAGTACAGAATGGGGTTGGTGTATACTGTGCCTGGCTTTGTACCATACATGTGCCCGTTGTGGTCACCAGTATAAGCTGTGTAGAGACATCATATTGAAGGTCAGGTTGGGGTTATATCAGTCACATCATCTTAGACAGTGACACTGGGCCATCTGTTCTGGAGCAGGTGACTGCCTTTGCAAGGCCCAACCAAGATGAGCATCAGGCATGAGAAGGCCTTTCAGAAATTCAGACTCTTGCCCCTGGGCCATATGTTCAGCTCATACCTAATATCTGGTGGTGCAGGGGGAGGGAAAGTGTCCTTTTGGCATCTTGGAGGCCACATAATTTGCAGGACTTTTTTTCAGATAAGATGGTAACAGAATATCAAACTGGGCACTGCCTTGGTTGAGGGATCAAATGTGTGGGTGCAGCCACCAGGGTTGAATAGGCACCAGGGGGCAGCAGTGGTCTCAGGTAGAGGATCTCAATCACTGAATGTTTGGAATGAATGTGTTCCCTTTCCTAGTTGGAGTTCCCTGGCTTTTCCAGGGCAGAGATGGTCCAAGGGTACATCTCTCTAATGACTCCATCCTTCATTTCACTCCTACAAAGGAGCTCAGTACTGGCTTGTGGACATGGGTCTTAGTCGTGCTAGAAAGCAGAGTCAGCAGCCACCAGCTCCTCACGGCGGGCACGTGCAGCCTCCACGGCACTGTGTACACTGGGGAACAGCAGCTCATCCTCAGCTCCCTGGTCTTCCCCAAGGAAGCCACCTTTCCTCAGTGTGTCCCTCACTGAGGGACTGCAGCAGGCCAGAAGCAGGGTGATGTCCAGGGCCCTGTAGTCTCTGTGCAGGTCCTTCAGTGTGGCCATGCCAGCCACATCCAGAAACAGCAGTGGTGCACAGTCAATGACCACTGTGTGGAAACCAAATGCCAGGGGTACCACCAGCCCAGTCCCACTGCTCACTGAACCCATGTCCTTGCCGTCAACAAGATTTCTGTCACTGACACCCACCTCTGGACCCTTCTCCTTCCTGGTGGCTGAGTGCCCTGCGTCCAGCCCTGTGAGGCTGTAGAGTGACCGCAAGAAGAAGTCCTTGTTGGCATAGTATAGTGGGCCTGTGAAACGGAACACTCGCACCTCAGGTGGGGGCAGGAGGCCCTCAAACTCAGAAGCATCCTCATAGAAGGTTGAGTCTCCAATTCGAGCAAGAAGGGCAGCCCGTGGACGCTGTGTGCGGACTGCCAGGCTGAGCAGTGAGAAGAACAGCCCAGCTAACAGTCCAGCCTCGGTGCTGACTAGCACACAGGTGGCTGCAGTAGCCACCCAGACCAATGCATCAGCAGGGCTTAGCCACCAAAGCTGTGGGAGGTCCTTCACTTTTCGCAGTGCCCCTCGCAGGCTGACAACAATGATACAAGCCAGCACACACCTCTGCAGATCATGAAACAATGGAGCTAGCACCAGCAGCACCAGCAGCACCACAGCAGCACTGACCACACTGGACAGCTGGGTCTGGCAGCCAGTGGCTGTCTTCACCAGGGTTTTGGACAGAGCAGCACTGGTGGCAAAACAGTGGAAGAAGGCAGGCAGCACGTTGCAGCAGCCCACAGCTAACAGCTCTTGGTTGGCATGAACAGAGTAGCCATGGCTACGAGCAAACATCTCTGCCAATGAGATGGAGAAGGCTGAGCCCACAAGGGCTAGGGACATAGCATCCAGGGACACACGCCACATTATCTTAGGGTCTGGTACCTGTGGGGCTACAAAACCAGTGGGAATGTTGCCAGCCACACTAGAGCCAAACCGAGTATGGAGCTGTCCAAAGTGCGACACAAGTGTGGCCACCACAATGACTAGCAGCTCTGTGGGTACTGGCACCTTCAGGCAGTGTCGGTAGCGGTCTGAGAGCTCCTTAGCTGCTATTAGCACTCCTAGGCACACGGCACTGGTGACCATGTCACACATATTGGCCTGTCCCACACTCTGCAGCAAGCTCAGCCATGTGCGGACCACCATGCCTGGGCCCTGGTGCCGAGGGATCCGCACACCCAGCAGGTGTTTAGCTTGAGAAGTCAAGATGGTCACAGAGGCTCCCATAGCAAAACCGTCGAGCAGTGGTTGTGAGAGGTAGGTAGACACAAAGCCCAGCCGGAGGATACCCATGAGGACCTGTAAATGGAGTACAGTCAGTTTGGTAGGCCACGAGGCAGGAGCTAGCATCAGTATAACCCAAGGGGTTACAGCACAGAGCCTGGTGTCTACCCTTGCTTACTCCCCTGAATGGACTCCTGCTGTTTCCACATGCATAACAGGACAGAAGACACAGGGGCACATGGATGTTGCAGTTGGCTGTGGATGTTCACTTCTCACACTCTCACACATACAGAAATTGGTTTTATTTCAGAATCAGGGCTGTAGGCATAAGGAGGCAGGCCCTTCCCCTGTGCCTAGTATGCAGCACACAGCTCCTTCCACCCAGTCCCCTCCTGGGCAGCCATGGAACAGACAGAATGAACAGAGAAGACAAGGTCAGCAGACAAGGTCTAGGTGTGGGGAGGCCAGGGGAACACATCTCCACTCCTAGGTCCTGCCTGGGTCAGGAAGCCAAGATGGACATTGGGGTTATAGTCTAGCTCATCTGAGCCATGGCCATATTTGGCCCAGTGGCCCTTCTCAGAGCACAGGTGGCCAGGCCAGCCCCACATATCCCTCCATTCTGTGACTGAAGTCCCTCTGGTATCTAGGCCTGGGCTCCACCTTGCCCTTGCTGAGCTGTTTTCTCTCTGAACCTGAAGAATTCTTCCTCCACATGCTTCCAGGCTTTTCCTGGTGGTAGTGGCAACCACCTTCCGGTGCTCTAAGAAACTGAGTCGCCAGCCCACTTGCTAGACAGCTAACTCCTTACCTGATAAAGTCCGGTCACCAGAGTGAGAGCAGTGGCGATTCGAATGGCATGGCAGTCCCGTCCACAGTCCTGTAGCCCAAGCACCAGTGTTGTAGTTGAGTTGTTGAGGGTGGTGCCATTGTCCATATGCCCCAGAGAATCCTGGGAGGAGTCAAAACCAGCGAACTGGAGTTCTCGGTCCACCACCTGACCTACCATGAGGCACAGCAGGCTGAAGATGCCCACATTAACATGGCGTGAGGTGCCCATGAGGAAGTAGATAAGGTTGGCAAAGAAGGAAGTATAGAGGCTATAGATGGGCTGCAGCCCAGCCAGCAGTGAGTAGGCTATGGCCTGTGGCACTAGGATAATGCCAATGACCAACCCAGACATAACATCACCTGCCAGGTACTCTTTTGGGCGGTACTGACGCAGCCAGTGTATGACAGGAAACAGATTCTGCACCAAAGCCTGAGCACATGGCATACTGCAGGTGCAGCTCTGCTTCATCCTGGCTTTCAGTGTTTCCAGCAAGCCCTGGGACACAGGGGGTTGCCGTCGGACCAGCACCAGTGTCCCACCCTTCTGTTGGGGCTCAGGAGAAGCATCCATCCTGTCAGACCAGGCTCTTTGGCCAACCTGCAAGGGAGAATGGGCATGGTTAGGAGCCCAGCTTCACAGTGAGTGTTTGTTCACCCAAACACAGACACCAGACATCAGAGATTGTTCTTCCATTAAGCACTCGTTCTTCTATGTGGATGGATGTAAGGCCTTGAGCTCCAAAAGCTAGTTTTATGGTGAGAGGTCTTATGACAGGGAGCCATTCTACCCAGCCTCACCCCCATTTGTGCTCTGTGTTTGTCTAGTTCAGCTCCTATGTGAAGTCCACTTAAAGCATTCTGAAGATCACCCACCTGAGACGAGGGCTGGACTAGACCCATATATGCCCAAGCCAGTGACAACAGAGACAGATGCATGTTTGCCTGAGCTCTAGCCACTCCCCATCTATCTGGATGGCAAGTGGCTTTGCCAGTCACCCCACTTCCACACGAGTTCTCCCAAGCCATCATCTGTTCTCATCTGTTCTCCTGTGAATACCATGGACCTGGAGAAAGCCTTGCATATTGTGTGTGCCGAGGCCCCTGGTCTGTGACACCCTTCCCAATGAGTTTAGAGAGTGCCTCACCAGGGACCAGTGTGCTCCGGAACCAGTGTGCTCCTTAACTCCGAGTGCTGAGCCTCTTCCCAGAGGCTCAACTATATTGAACAAGCACACTGCTCCACAGATGTCCACCTTTGGCCTAGCTGTTCTGGCCCCTTCTGACCTTGCCTTGGTACTGAAGAGTCTCAGGCCATGCTGACCACATGATGACCTTGGGTCCTGTTTACAGGTTCCAAAGTACTTATTTGTAATATTAATCAAACATTCTCTGTTCTCATGGGACTCAGGACACAGTGGTGACTGTTGGAGCCCCTTGTGCCTGGCTTGGGTATTGGAACAGCAGCTTCCCTGCTAGGGTGGTGGTCTATCAGGCATCTTAGCTCTTGAGAAAGATTATGAGAACAATGATACACAAGTGAAACTGAGCGCTCCGAGGCTCACCCCAAGTCTTTGGGGGCTCATGTGTGTGGAGGAAGGACTGTTAAGTGTCATCTTCCTTGTATCTGAGCAATCCCCAGAGAAATGACAGTCTAGGTTCCTGTCTCTGCCCAGGAAACCACACCTCCTGGGGCCTGTTGTATGAGTACAAGGATAGTTCTTACCTGGGACACCTGGCCGGCTCTGTAGGCTTTACAATATCCAGGGGCTGCCGTGGGCTGAACTTCCAATCACTCTGGCTTCTGTTAACAGGCGGAGAACAAGGTTGGCAGGCGCCTCTGAGACTGACCTGTGGGAATACTCCACTGGGCTCGCTGTTAAATTATTTACCCCCAAAATAGCTGAGTCATGGGTTTCCCCCGTCAAATGAGTGTTACCTGAGCAGCTAATCGGGTGAGCTAATCCAGCGAGTTGTACTATAATCAGAGGCTCACAAATAATTATGGTTATGTGGGCCTCTGATAAACTCCCCTTTGCAGAGGGGTGGGTGCTCCAGGTGCAACAGCTTCTGTAATGTCAGGAGGAAGAGGAGGTGGGGGCAGGAGTGGTTGAGGTGCTTGAGTGTGAGGCCCCAGAGGAGCTGAGTGAAACACTTTAGCTATGAAGTTCTGGGGTCATGTACAGCTGACTTCACCTACCCAGATGCTGGTTATCTTCTCTCCACCTTCATGGAGCCTGTGCTAGCTGGGGCAAGCTGAAACTCAGACTTTGTTCCATGTCCCTGTATGCAGTATATGCATAAGGCTACTGATGTGTGTGCACATACTTGTGTGAGTGAACACATGCCTGTGTTGTGCACAGCCCAAGGACTGTCAGCATCAAGATAAGTGTGTTCAATCCTGGGTTGGCCTCAGATCCTGCCCCACTTCTTTCCCTCTCCTCCCTGGTACTAACCACCAGTGATCATGGTCAGGCACTTGGCCCCCATGTACCTCTGTAGGACATGGGACTTGCCTTGTAAGGATTGCCTAGAGATAAATGGGTCCTTAACATTAGCATAATTAATCAGTGCCCTCAGACTTGAGGTATGCCTCCAAGTTCTGTAAGGCTGGCCAGAATCTCAGGTCCACTTCTTGTGCTTTGAGAGTAAGTAGTTTTGTGCTAACAGGCCTTGATCTTTTCTGTGGTCTGCTGTATTCTGGGTACCCTCCCATCCTGGAGATCGTCCCCTTCATTATTGCTAGAAGGCCCAGCTAGGCTGGTCTGTTGTCTCCACTGGCCCAAGTTCAGTGGGCAGTTTGCCCTGGGACTGGGCAAAGTGAAGCTATACGCTTTGCTCCTCTTATCCCCAAGGGTCTTGGGAAGGGGCTTAGGATCAACAGTTGTCTTGCAGAACCAGCTGGGACTCTGAGGCTCCATTCCTCCAAGTCAGGAGATAATAATTCAGAGTCCCTTCCAGTTCACAGGTTGGACAGTCCTTTGGGACATCTGCAAGCCTTGTCCAGTTCCTGGCAGCCATGGGCCTGACCAACACTTTGCTTGGGGGTGAAATGAAAATGGAATGTGGGTAGAATGGCCAGAGTAGGAAGGCTGAGTTTAAGACTAGGCAGGGCTGGATGCTCTGTGGGTTAGGTGTTCCTCTACCTTTGCTCTCTGGCTCCCCACCTGGATGCTGTCCTACCCCTCCAAGTAGGTCTGCTTTTCCTGGAAGAACCTATTTAGGGCCCCAGGGTCTTAACTTATTGTGCCCTACCTTTGTAGGGCTGGGCATCCTTTCCCCTTACAACAAGCCCCCAGCCACTGTTTGCACAGCAGTTGGGAACTGTGGTTTACAGGAGCAGTTACCCAGTGGGTGTGGTGGGGCTAGTCAGAGCAGCCCCTCTTTTGTCAGATAAAAGCCTCCTCTAGTGGTGGTGCGGACAGCTACTGAGGGTGCCGCCTAGCCAGTTACTCACAGAGAGGCCTCTGGGGAATGTCCTGTTGCTACATCTTTGAGAAGGGCAGAGCTGAAGTTGTGGAATGGATGGATCTGTAAACACAGAGGTGCTGGGGTGAAGGAGAGGGTGAGAGTATTCAATTCCCTTGGAAGCAAAGAAAACCGCGTCGGAATGGTCCCTCCCTTCTCCACCGCCCTGGGTAGGAGGGATTAAGCCTTACATCACACATCCCCCATCCTCCACCCCCACCCCGCCCTGCCAGTGCCCACAGCCAATGGAAATGTAGATGAAGTCATGTCTTCCATGACTTGCCATGAGTCCCCTGCCCCACTCATTCTTCTGCCTCTACAGCTCTGTGCACTCAGGGTGGTACTGCAATTGGTGTGACCAGGCCCACTGTCCCACCCTAATGTGCATTGTACTGCGGGCTTCTTGGCTTGCTACTGGACACATATAGGGCAGGGGTATGGGGCCGATCGGTCTGTTTGGTCCTATGCGGCTCAGTGATTTCCTTCTTTTATCTCTAAATCCACCATTTAAATCTTGAATACATTTTATTTTGGAAGAAAATATTATACACTGTCCAACAGTGGAAAATGATGGGCTAGACAGGCTCCCGGACTAGATCAGAATTTCTTCCCCAAAATTAGTCCGGGTGCGCACCTTCCTGGGGCTTCAGCAGGTTCTCCCGAGAGATACCGAGATACGGTTTCCGCGCTCCACGCACCACCCCCATCCTGCATAGTCAGCGGTGTCAACAGACCGTGTTCTCTTCGCTGCCCTAGACCTCCCAAGCCTGCTGCGTGCATCGGCCCTGGTGCTGCCGGGTACTGCTGCACTCCTCTGCAGGCGCGTTCCGCCTCCCCGCCCGCTCACCCGCGCTCACCCAGGCACTCACCAGCCGCTGCGGCCTCATCCTCTAAGCGCACGCGCTCCGCCTCTAGCGGGAGGCCTAGAGCAGTGCGACCGCTGCGGGCTAGAGTGAAAAGGCCCTTGTGTGGCCTTGCTAGTGTGGCTGTATCTTTTCCTGCCTCAGCTCAGCTGGGCTATGGCTCAGGCCACTCTGCAGGGAATGACAGACTTCCCTACACTTCACCTCACTGACTTGCCCCCTCCCTTGTTTAGGATTCTTTAACAACAACACCTTCCAAGGCAGCAGAAAGGAACTAATTCGCAGTGAGGACAAAAGACTGTTCCTTGGGTTTCCTGGGCATGGGAGGCCCTCGAGGTATCTCAGTGGTCTAGCTATAGAGGTTGACAGGGGTGACAGGCAAACAGTCAGGTCCTTACAGGGTTGCAGTCTTGGGACATCTCTGATGTGAAAGACTGGCCCAGGAATAGCCCTTTTGCTGAGGCCTGCTCCATGAATTGTGTATTCTGCTTGGTTTATGAAGACAGGGAGCTGGTGACAGCTTCTGACTAACCCCAATAACTTGGGACTTTGGAACAAGCGTTTAATCTTTATCCAAGTGCTTGTTTGGCTTTATTTATTTGCAACTGTTTTTGACCGTTGGGTGGGAAGCCAAGCAGGTCTGTTTTGTAGCTTTAGGCAGAGGCTCCAGTCCAAAAGCACAGAGGGCAGGCAGGCTGGGAGAAGCAGGACCTGAACTTGGGGCAGTAGCCAATGTGACCATATAGGGTGAGGGATTGATGTGGCTAGAATTGTTGCTTCTTGTTGAGGTGGTTCTACCAACCAGTGTGGAGACTGTCACTGACCTACCATCCCACTCCAGACAAACCCATGAGCTGTCTTACATATCTTCTGGAGCTACTTGTTTTTAGCAAGCTCTCAGAACCTGGCAGGACTGACACTGAACTTGTTAGCTGGTGCCTTCAACCAGTGTCAGTTGCAGATTCAGCCCTCGGGGCTGCTCTTCCCCTTCCCCAGAATTGTAAGCCAGAGACAGCCCCAAGCATCAATGTCCTGAAATTCATGCAATTGTCCTGTACGTTGCTCACAGCTCATCTCAGTACTGACAGTAGACACTGTCATGGCATCTCTTCCTTCATGCCCATTGATGTCTCCTGCTTTCACCTCAATTAACCACTACCAAGATTCTTCTAGAATGTAGTGGCTTTGCTCTGATCACCACTTTACAGGTCTCCTGTTTTGCTCTGAGTCATGTGGCCTGAATCATGTCCCATATTCATGTGGTCACAAGTCCCTGTGTAACCCCATTTCCGTCTCTGTACCTTCATTCTGCTCCAGGCCAGTTAGCTGCCTTTCTGCTGCCTGACTGCCCTTAGCTTGCTCCTGTTTAAGGGCCTTTGTACCTGCTTGTTCCCCGGATATTTTCATCACTGGTTCATGCCACCACTTGGCAGACCTTTGATGTTACCCCTTTGGAGTGGTTTCCTCTCCCCGATCATCTTCCCCTTTCACTCTGACATTTCCCTTTTCCCAAACTTGTGATGTTTTAATAAAGATCCAGGCAAATGTCTAATGACTCTTTTCCTCTCAGAAACTGAACCCTATGAAAAAGGCCCAGTGTGGAATTGAGGAAGTCCTTCATCTTCTTTTCTTGTCCATCCATTTGTTTCTCAGTATGGAGAGAGGGAAAGTGACTGCTGGGTCAAATTCTGAGCTTTGGTCTCTTAGAGTGTATAGAATAAGGGTAGTGCCTACTAACTTCTGCTCAACTTCTGTCCCATACCCTGTTCCATGTCAGTTGTCCTTGAGATGCCTCATCACCTCCCCACCCCATCCCATTGTACCTTTCCTATATGACTTGCCTGTCCCTCCCTCCTCAGTGTGGTGACTGACCTGAGCCTGACTTGAATCTCTTTAAAGGTTTCATGCACACACCCATACTCATTCACATTCTACTGTGAGTGACAGAAGCTTCCATAGTACCGTTTTCAGTGTCTTTAAGGCTTAATGTGGGGTTTTATGTGCACATACTTGTACATAGTGTTTACAGACTTGTACACTGTGACAGACTTTCACAATGCTGGTCTTTTCCAAAGGGAAAGACCATCTGAAAGCCTAGATCTCCCTGGGAACTTGAGGCACCCACATCCTTAAATGTGGCCCTAGTTCCAATCTAGGGTGTAGAGAAATACTGCTGCTCTCCAGCACTGACCTTCCCTTCACAGGAAGTCATCTGGGCAGGGACTGATATACAACTTCACCCACTTGGATGCATTTTTGGACCTCCTCATGGAGAACCAGCTCCTCCCTGGTGAGTAGTGGTTCTACTTTCTCCCGTCACCTGCTGTTCTATGTCCTGGTAGATAGTGTATCTCAGCACAGACTGAGGTGCTGTTGAGGTGTAGCCCAGCTGGGCTTGGTGTGTTGGGTAGTGGGGCAGCTACCCCTTTGTGTTTCAGGATTTGAGCTGATGGGCAGTCCTTCTGGGCATTTCACAGACTTTGAGGACAAGCAGCAGGTGTTCGAATGGAGGGACTTGGTTTATCGATTGGCCAGAAGATATATCGGTGCATAGAAGGGGGAAATCCTGGGGGGCTCCAGTGGGCTGTCCTGGAGAGGCTCTCTTCCCTGATCTCTCAGGCCACCTCCTGGTCTTCTTTGCCATAGACATCCCTATATCCCAGCTAGAGATGCCTGATGAGTGAGGGATTCACCTGATGGCGGTGGGGTACTTAGTTGGAGCCAGATAAACCCTATCAATGGAACCCCACCCAAGGGGCCCAATACCTAGGAGACACCAGATAGGCTCCATCCCCAGACCTGAAGGTAGAACTTCCATTGTATAACAGCAGAGACTCTCTGCAGGTAGGTATGGGCTGACACATGTTTCCAAGTGGAACTTCGAGACTTGGAATGAGCCAGACCACCATGACTTTGACAATGTGTCCATGACTACACAAGGTGGGCAGCATTTTTCCAGGTCCTGTTGGGTGGGCTGCATGAGAGGGAAGCATGACAACTTCAGACCTTCAAGACCCTTTTGCCCTAGGCTTCCTGAATTACTATGATGCCTGCTCTGAGGGGCTGCGCATTGCCAGCCCCATGTTGAGGATGGGTGGCCCTGGGGATTCATTCCACCCCCTGCCAAGGTCACCACTGTGCTGGAGCCTTCTGCGTCACTGTGCCAATGGAACCAACTTCTTCACTGGTGAGGTGGGCGTGCGTCTGGATTATATCTCCCTGCACAAGAAGGTATGTTATTCCCCCACCCCTACCTGCCTGCTTTGAGCTGAGCCTGCACTGAGGTATATGCTGACTGCAGGGCGCAGGCAGCTCCATCTCCATCCTGGAGCAGGAGGTGGCAGTTGTGGAGCAGATCCAGCAGCTCTTCCCCAAGTTCAAGGACACCCCTATTTACAATGATGAGGCAGACCCTTTAGTGGGCTGGTCACTGCCACAACCTTGGAGAGCCGATGTGATTTATGCAGCCTTGGTGGTGAAGGTGGGTTCTTGCCATCTGGCCTCATCCAGACTCAGGAAGACTTCCTCTGGTGGGGGTGGGAACAGTATGGGTGGCCAGAGGTACAGGTCCCAACTGCTCTGATGTCCACAGGTCATTGCACAGCACCAGAACCTGCTGTTTGCCAATAGCAGTTCCTCCATTCGCTATGTGCTCCTGAGCAACGACAATGCCTTCCTGAGCTACCACCCACACCCTTTCTCCCAGCGTACACTTACTGCCCGCTTCCAGGTCAACAATACTTGCCCACCCCATGTGCAGCTTCTGAGAAAGCCAATCCTTACAGTCATGGGGCTGATGGCCCTGCTGGGTGAGTAATGACCTACCTAGCTTCTGCATATGCTGGGTCAGAGTGAAAATACCATGATAGCCTGGCATGTCCTGGGTTGGGTGAGGATCAGCATAGAAGGACCTGGGTTGAGAGAACATGGAAATGCTGGGCAGGGACAAGCATATTTCCTCCAGCTGCTGGGTGGGTTTCTTAGGCTTGTTTTCCAAATCTCTACCTTATTCCCTCCTCTCATTCTGTGGGCTGAACAGTATGGCAGGACCTCTCAGTATACAAATGGTGGGAGCCAGGCATTAGGGTAGGAAGCCAGGTGCTGGGTATGAGGGAGCCAACAGCCCCAGTCCTCTGCCTGGCCTGTAGATGGAGAACAACTCTGGGCGGAAGTGTCACAGGCTGGGGCTGTGTTGGACAGCAATCACACAGTGGGTGTCCTGGCCAGCACCCATCGCCCTGAAGTCTCCTCAGAGGCCTGGCGTACCACAGTCCTGATCTACGCTAGTGATGACACCCATGAACACCTCAACCACAGTATCCCTGTGACGCTTCACCTTCATGGGGTACCCCCTGGCTTGGGTGAGTAGGGTTCTGAAGGAAGTTGGGAACTCAGCAGGGATAGGACAAGGGAGATAAACCATGGTGTCTGGGTCCACAGGGCTTGTCTACGTAGTACGCTACCTAGACAATCAACTGTGCAGCCCCTACAGTGAGTGGCAGCACATGGGCCAGCCAGTCTTCCCCTCTGCAGAGCAATTCCGACATATGCGCATGGTGGAGGTTTGTGGGCAAGTAGGGAGGGAGGGAGAGGGGTTCCTTAATTACTTAGTTACTGTAGAGAGTTGCCAACCACATGCCCCTCCCTTGTCCCCAGGACCCAGTGGTTGAGGCACCACGTCCCTTCCCTGCTGGAGGCAGCCTGACTCTACACCGGAAGCTTTCTTTGCCATCACTTCTGCTGGTGCATGTCTGCACACGCCCCTTGAAGCCACCAGGGCAGGCAAGTGGCAGCTTCCCACCCTACCTGTGAGGCTGCCTAGCTCACCCCTTCACAGCTTCTCCCTCCTCACAGGTTAGCCGGCTGCGTGCACTGCCCCTGACACGTGGGCAGTTGGTTCTGGTCTGGTCAGATGAGCATGTGGGCTCCAAGTGCGTGAGTGGGGGTGGTTATCCTTCCCTATGTCATTACCCTTTTAGTCATTCACCTTCCTCCTCTATTGCCTCTGTGCTCTATACACACTGCACAACACCTGCACAGATCCACTTGTGTCTGAGTTGGAAATCACCTACAGTGGTAGTGTCCAGTGTTCTCCCCTCAGTGTGGCCTGTCATAATGTTGAGAGTACCCAGGGACCCTAGAGGTGCCAGGAAGGGAGCTGAAGAGTATAGAGTTGTGGGTCCACCCTATCCCGTCCATCCAGGCCAGCTGGCCCCAGCTTCAGTACTGATCCAGCCCTCCCCAGGTGCCTGTGGACATATGAGATCCAGTTCTCCCAGAAGGGTGAAGTGTATACTCCAATCAGCAGGAGGCCATCTACTTTTAACCTCTTTGTGTTCAGCCCAGGTGCGCCCAAATGGACCTCAGTATCATATGGTGTGAGGTGGGTCTGGGGTTTTGGGAACTTCAGGAAATATGTGCTTTTGTGTCTGCAGATACAGCTGTGGTCTCTGGTTCCTATCGAGTACGAGCATTGGACTACTGGGCCCGGGCAGGCCCCTTCTCAGACCCTGTAACTTACGTGGATCTCCGTGCCTCATAAGAGCCACTGGCTCCTAGTGACTGGTGAGCCTGTGCTGACTAGTGAATGGGGTCAGCCAGGTTGAGCTAGACTGCCATTAGCTGGTTAATTGACTATCAGCTCCTTTTGTTGTTCCCCCATTTCCTTTGAAAGTATCTTTCTCTACCTCAGTCTTGGGGTCTGCCTTTGTGGAGGAACACTACAGAGGGCCCAGCTGGAGTAACCTTTGCCTGCCTTTCTCCTTCTTCCCAGCTGTTTAAAGTTTAAATCTGGAGCTGGGAGGACACTCAGTGGGTAAAGCGCTTGCTGTGCAGGCATGAGGACCAGAGTGCAGACATCTATTCAGAGTTTACAGATTACTCATGTGAAGGCAGGGCATGGCGATGTATGCCTGTAACCTAGTGTTGGTGGGAAGGACAGACACAGGCCAGGCTCACTGGCCATCCAGTCTACTTGGAACTGCAAGCTCCAGGTTCAATAAGAAATCCTGTTTCAGAAAAATCAAGTAGAGAACTATAGAGAAGATACTCAATATTGACCTTTGGTACACACACACACACACACACACACACACACACACCCCTCACATACACAAATACACACCCACCCCCCAAACACACCACAGATCACACTGTGCACACACAGTCTAAATTCTGTCCCTTTTCTGAGACTCGAGACAAACTCTTAGCTTGAGATTCTGTAATATCAAAAAGAAAGTTATGTACTTCTGAAATACAATTGCACAGGGTAAACATCTCCATTTCAACAGGAAAATAAATGACAAGGAAGGATTTAATTGAAGCAAGACCAAACATTAAATCCTCCAGATACATTCCCAGAATTGGGACACATGTTATTGTGATATGAACTCTAATGTGCTAGACAGTTCTATCTTTGTGGTATTGCCATTTACAGCCCCTGTGACTTTCTCCCAGGCTGGTGTCTTAGGTTTTCCATTGCTGTGATTAAACATGATGAACATAAGCAACTTGGGTAGGAAAAAGTTTATTTCACTTACATTTCCACATTACAGTCTATTATCGAAGGAAGCCAGGGCAGGAACTGATGTAGAAGTCATTGAGAAGGGCTGCTTACTGGCTTGTTCTCCACGGCTTGCTCAGACTATGTTCTTATACACTCCAGGACCACCAGCCAAAGGGTGGCACCTCTCACAGTGGCCTGGGCCCTCTCACATCAATCACTAATTAAGAAAATGCAACACAGACTTATTGCTCATAAGTCAATCTTGTTAGGGTGTTTTCTCAGCGAGGTTCCCACTTCCCAAATGACTGTAGCTTGTGACAAATTGACATAAAACTATTCCAGCCTTGCCACATATTACCTGGCCTCCCAAGTCTTCCTTTGAAATCTGACTGGAAGCCTACATAACCCTGTAACTGTAATTCTTGTATTCTGTCTTCTAAGCCAGCATGCTGTGGATCATACAAAGGTCTATTATCAGCTTGAATGGTAGTTGAGGACCCTTGAGCCATCCATGACTGCAGTAAACTTGGAGTGCCTTGTTGCTTAGCCCCATGCACTTGGGCAGAACATTATGACAATAGTAACTTGTAGAGGGGAAGGCTGTTCACCTCATGGGGAACAGGAAGCAATATAAGGATAAAATTAAGTGTAACCGTCAAAAACACTTCTTCACGGACCTGCTTTGTCCAACTAGGCCTTTGTGGAGAAGTTTCTAGAATCTCCCAAAACAGAACCACTACCTGGAAACCAATTGTTTAACATGTAAGTCCTTGGGGGTGTATTTAATATTCAGAATTGGCTGGATATATCACCTTGGTTCTGGCCATTGGAAAAAACCCGCTGTCTTTCAGTACCAGTTCCTGGTGTGCTAATACACAGCTATATCCCTTTCCAGGTGGCCTGCTGGACACATATGTCCTTAATTCATTCTGCACATTTTCCTTCTCTCCAGCAACCCATGAAAGCCCAGCACACAGAAGTTTGTGCTGCAGCCTAGGCCTGCTGCCAAGCTTTTCCAAGTTAGTGTTACCTACTGTCCAGGAAATAAGTCTGAATGGAATACTTGTATGTACTTCATGGCTACATCCAAATTGAGAGTTCCTCTGGCCTCGTGCCTCTTAGAAGTGGGCAGAGTGAATGAAATACAATGACTTTCTGTAGTGCTTTTTATCTGTAGAAGTAACCAACAAGAAACACAGAACCAATGCAAAGAAGAAAGCCAAGAGATCAGAGCTAAGAGCCTTACCCACCTGCTGCAGCTAGCCTCTTCAGCCAAGAGACCTCTCCGAAAGAGACCTACTTCCTGTCTGTTTATCTTTATATAGACTTTCTGTTCTGCCTTCTCATTGGTTGCAAACCCAACCACATGACTGCCTCATCACTGCCTGTCTGTACAGCCCTCCAGGTCTTCTGTGGTATTGAGATTAAAGATGTGTGTCTCCAATGCTGGCTGTATCCTTGACCACACAGAGATCTACCTAGCTCTGCCTACCAAGTGCTGGGATTAAAGGCATGTGCCACGAATGCCCAGCTCTGCTATGGCTTACTATTAGCTCTGACCCCCAGGCAACTTTGTGTATTAACATACAAATAAAACCACATTTCAGTACAAATAAAATACCACCTTTGTGGACTTTAGGCTGGCCTTGAAATCCTGATCCTTCTATCTCAGCCTCTGTAGGACTAAGATTATGGGTATGTATCACCATGCCTGTCAATGACCCCTCACTTTAAATAAAATATGACATTTCCCACTGCCATGGGATCACCACAGGCTTCCCTGGAGGATCTTGAGCTTTTCAGAGCTTGTCTTCCACCTCTTGGAAGTATGTTTTACTAAGCCCTCCAGGGCATGTAACTTCTTGCCCACAAAGCCCAGTGAGCATGACCAGCAACTTGCATTAATTTTGGAAGAGTGATGTCACCAGGCAAACTTGAGGTGTGCTGACATCCATTATGAGAAAGTAGACTGCTCTTGATGAGATAAAGAGTGCTTTCCAGTGGACAAGCTGATGTGTCAGGTAGCCAGCCCTCAGATATAGTGGGTGTTGACATGGTCATGTTTCAGCAAACCACCAACATGTAATATCCCTGGGGAAGGTTATGAGGATCTGGAGGGAGACCTCTCAGTCTCCCACTCTGTCCTGTAAACTGGAAAGGGGCCTAATGGGTGGTCTTCAGTACAAGCCAACGTTGTCTGCTGACAGATGTCCCTAAGCCTCTGACCAGTAGGCCACTTAGTTTTCAGGTAATAGGACTGCAGCCACTCAGACCTATTATCTAATCACCGTAGGAGTTCATCTTCCCTCTTCCAGGTGGGACCTAGCCTTCCTTGTTCTAGGTTCTGTGTCTGTACAGTGGCTCAGGTCAGTAATTAATATGAGGCCCTGGAGCAACATTGTGATAGTTTGTGCTGGCAAAGGTTTCTGTGGGCCCATGTCCAGCAGCACTCTGCAGCCTATACTCTGTGGTGTAGATAATATCTCAGGCCCTCTCATCTTGTTGATGGTATTTATCTTACTGGTCCCTTCAGTGTCACAGACTTTTGCAGGAACATTACAGTGTAAGTACTTGAGCAATACCCTTATTCAAGAGCCAGCTCAGAAACATCCCATCTGCCTGTGGTGTAGTTGCTTCCAAAGGGCTTTGGGTATTGTTTGGTACACTGGCCATTGTCCCTTTGTACATTATGAAGGGGGTATCACCAGCCTCCTAGCCACAGTATGTGCAGGCAGAGTATTGTCCAAGTCCCTCATCCTGACTTTTGAACCCTGTAGGTACTCAGGCATACACCACAGACTTCAGACCCTTGATACTCTAGACAGTCAAGGCAGGAACTATTGAGGAAAACAGCTTACTGGTTGCTCTTCATGGCTTGCTCACCTTGCTCTCTTATTCTAGACCGTTCCACCTGACCAGAGATGGCATTAGCCACAGTAGTCTAAGTCCTCACATCAATTATTAATCAAGAAAATGCTCCCGAGACTTGCCTACCGGTCAATCTGATAGAGACAATTCCTCAATTGAGGTTTCCTGTTTACAGATCACTCTGGCTTGTGTCAAGTTGACAAAACCTAATGGTCTATGTCATAATGTCACTTCTGACCCTGATGACTGGGCATAGTTGGTCCTTTTCTCGTCTCTTGGTCTGACTTCCGTATCTCCTTTTCCTCTTGATCCCCTTCACTCATGGCCCAGTTCAGTTTGGACACTTCCAGATGCCTCTGGCTCAACTCTTCCTCATATCTACAATAAAACCCTTCTCCTCAACCATACCTTGGAGCAATCATGTACTCGTTTTCATTCAGGAGGCTGTATTACTTTCTTTTCTATTGATATGGTAATACACCATGACCAAGGCATCAATGGAAGAATTTATTCTGGCTTAGTTTCAGAGGGATAAAAGTTCATTATGGCAGGAAGGCATAGCAGTAAGAAGCAGGTATGGTCTTGGGAGCAGGAAACAGAGATCACAAATCTTCAACCACACACACAAAGCAGAGAGAGTGAGCTGGAAGTTGGGTGAAGGCATAACTTCTTAAAAACCTGCCTCCAGTGTAGTCTCTTCTGAAACTCAAGACAATTTCAAAATAAAAAAGGAGTACTACATTATATATACATATGTATGTATGTTCCAACATACAAGGACACAGAATATGCCTTAGCCTTTCCAAAGGGGAGCAATGGAGGTGTAGTGGGAAAATACTGGACCTAAGTAAGACTGACCCAGGAGAAAAAACAATAAATCCTATAGCTCCATGTCTAGTGCCAAGGACTTCAGTTTTAAAGTACTTAGATGGCACCCCCACCCCCTACTTTGCTGCCTGTAGCATACATATGTCTTTTGGGGATGGTTCCAATCCTTGCCTGCAACTCTCTTTGGCAGATGCCTTATGGCTAAGTGTCTCCAACATACTGGGGTTTTCATTTCAACCCAGCTTCACTATCACAGCTTCATGCAATGGCCTCTCACAGCCTCTTCATGCATGGATTCCTCTTCCAAATACTGCCTGACCTCAGTTGGAAATAAAGCTGCTGTGAACATCTGTGCATATATCTTTTGTGGACCTTCATTTCTGTTGGGTGTGGGTTTTGGAGAATGATGGCCAGAGCATATGTTAGATTCAGGCTCAGTTATTCAAGAACCTGTGAAACATTTCCAAAATTACATACCCAGCTAGCACATGTGACAGTTTGCTGTACTTCTTGTGTGATGGATCTTTATATTGTGATCTTCTATCTTGCCACCTTGCCAAAAATGCACAAGTCATAGTGGACACTGAAGTGCCCATACAGTTGGCTTTGTCCTTTACAAATAGGGTATGTTCTACTTCTTCCCTCTAATATGGATCTCTCACTTGTTTTTTGTTTTGTTTTTAGATAAGGCCTTACTATGAAGCCCAAGTTAGCCTCAAGCTCATAATCCTCTTGCCTTAGAAAGAGATCACAGGTGTGTATCGGTATGGATATTTCCTGTGATTAATGCACTGAGTAAGGACCACAGGTGAAGGACTAAACAGAAGTAAAGACTGAACATAAGCATCTAGTTCCTCATTTTAGGGGAAAGTAGTAGTCTTTCATTTATGTGTGAGGCTGACTATAATTTTTTTTTTTACATTTTTATTTACTTTGATAGTTACCTTTTGCCAAGCCAAGGAAATTCCTTCCTATCCCTAGTTTGGGAACAGTCTATTCTGAGAGTGAGGAAGGGATGCTGACTTGTTTTGTGTCTTTCTGTGTCTCTGTGGCCATCACCTTGGCTTTCCTGAAGTGGTTGATTTTTGGAGGGAAAGCCAGTTTTGTAGCTGTAGGGAAAGAAACCTTTACTGATCATGACATAATGTTCTTTCTTACATTTGGGAGTGTGTGTAGAACCACATCACCATCCAGAATGGAACCATCTGGGCCTAGGTTTTTGTTTTGTTTGTGGTGTGTGTGTGTGTGTGTGTGTGTGTGTGTGTGTGTGTGTGTGTGTGTGAATATTGTATGTGCTTGTGTGCATGTGTGAAGGTTTTAATCAAAACTTCCAATTATTTAATAGACACGGGGCTGTTAAAGTTACCTTTTTAAAAAATTTTCTTGAGTTAGTTTTGGTGGTTTCTGTCTTCTAAGGAAGCTGTCTATTTTGTCTGAGTTGTCAAATCCACTGACATAAAATGATTTTTACTCTCTATTATTATTGTAATTTCTCCTGCAGGGCTGTTTGTATCTGTTAACTTTTGTCTTTCCTCTGTGTTTTCCTTTGTCAATTTTCTTGTACTTTCCAATGAATCAAGTTCTGATTTCCTCTTCTTTCTCTACAGCTTTTCTGTTAACTTCTGTGGCATTACCATCCCTCCCTTCTGCTTCCTTGGGTTCCACTACTCTGTGTTCCTTGTTCCTTTAGACAGAAGCTGAGCTTGTTCATTTGAAAGTCTTTTTTTTTTTTTTAAACAGTATTGATATAAATTTTCCTATAGTATCCCCTACCCCTTTCACTCATGCATACTGGGCAAGTGCTCTACCACTGAATGACACTCATCTCTATTGTTCATTTTTGCAATAATTCCATTGGGATCAGAGAACATGCTCTGCATTATTTGAATCCTTTTAAATATTTGAGACTTGTGCCCTGACTCCAAGTGGTAAACATTAATTATGCTAAATAAATTGACATTGTTGTCCATAAAGTTATCTTCTGGGAATGCTGAAGTCTCTCAATGTAATTGTAGA